CCTTGGTTAGTTTCTATCCGATGCTTCTTGTCCTGCCTTCAGGCTCTTTGGACAACAGCTTGACTCCCTCTTCTTTCGGGCAGCCCCTGAGATACTGGAAGACTGCTATTATGTCCCCCCTCGTCCTTCTCTTCGTTAAACTAGACAGACCCAATAAATACAAGTCAGTTGCCAAGGATCTGACTTTTGATCCTCTGATCCTGGGAGTGCTGCAAAGGTTGTAACTGTGAAAAACGGTCATAAGTCGCCTTTTTCCAGTGCCCCTGGAACTTTGAACAGTCACTAAATGAACAATTGCTCAGTTGAGGACGACCTGTAGTCCAAGGACACAGGCAGCATCCCTAGGGTCACAGGTGCTCGGCAACCAAATTCAGGGGTTTCGCAACCAACATATTTTGCAACGGTTGCAACATACCAGGGCGATGTGATTGCCTTTGCAATCTTCCCAGCCGGCTTCCCACAAGCAAGATCAGTGGGAGATGACAGATTCGCTTAATAGCTGCTGTGATTCGTTTAACGACCATGGCAAAAGAGGTCGTATAATTTGTATTGTCTTTCTCAGAGGAAGTGGAGGAAATGGTCTAGGGCAGGGGTAGGCAATCTTGGCTCTTTTATGACTCGTGGGCTTCAACTCCTAGAATTCCTGAGCCAATATAGCTCAGCATGAAACCTCTCCCTTTCCCCTCAGCATGGCTGGCTCAGGAATTCTGGGAGTTGAAGTCCACGAGTCATGAAGGGGCAAAGGTGGCCTACCCCTGGTCTAGGGCAAGGGTCTTCAAACAAGCTGTCTTCCTAACTCAGGGGTAGGCAACCTTGGCCCTTTTATGACTCGTGGACTTCAATTCCCAGAATTCCTCAGCCAACATGGCTCAGCTTGGAAACCTGTCCATTTCTCCTCAGCATGGCTGGCTCAGGAATTCTGGGAGTTGAAGTCCATGAGTCATAAAAGAGCCAAGGTTGCCTACCCCTGGTATAGGGTTTCTTGCCTGAACAGGGGGTTGGACTAGATGACCTCCAAGGTCCCTTCCAACTTTATTATTATTATTAATAATAATAATAATAATAATGATCATCACACAGTCAGCCAGATGTTCAGACTGGATTTGGCATTTTGTCTACCTATCGAGTCCTTCCCAAGGACCTGGGATAGGCAGATTATTATTATTATTATTATTATTATTATTATTGGTGAGGCTCCCTCTTCCTACAATTTGGCACTTGGGAATCTGAACCGCATCTCCCCACAACTGGCAAAGACCCCTTTGGATTTGGATTCGCGTAACAACCGTGTGGGTCACTTAACGCAGGGGTCCTCAACCCCGCCGGGCTGCGGCCTGTTCAGAACCGGACCGTGATAAGCAACATCTGAGCATTGTGCAGCTCCGTTTGTGTGAGTGGCGGGCCTTTGTGCAGAAGCACCCTTTGTGCGAGTAGCGGTCATGCGCAACCACCGTAAAATGGAGCCACACACACAAGGGTGTGCGCCTCCTGCTTGCATGAAACTCTCCGTTTCCCCCCCCCCCATCCCACTGGTCCAGAAAGGTTGAAGACCCCCGAATTAAAAATTGCAGCGATTTGCTTAACAATCCCGGCCAAAAAAGATCGCACACTCGGGTGTGACCCCCTTAACCACTGTCTTGCTTAGCAAATTTAAATTCTGGTTCCAGTTTGGGGTCGTAAGTTGAGGACTCCCTGTACTAGCCCCTGGCTTGAATTAAAGAAAAAAGAAAAAAAAGTTGCATTGGGAAAGAATTTTGCAGCCCGGCATCTGGCTTCTCAGTGTCCCAAAAGGCCACGCTGGGTTCTGAAGGGCACAAAACATCATTCACACCTTCTCACAGCAGCTGTGTGATGATGCTCAAAGTCCCAAAATAGCTTTGCAGCTGAACTTTACAGCTCACTAGACCCTTAGAAGTATTTCTTCTTAGTCCCCAAATCCTCTGGAGTGGGGGGGGGGGGTCTTCCGACTTGGCCCTTTTATAACTTGTGGATTTCAACTCCCAGAATTCCTCAGCCGGCGTGCCTGGCTGAAGAATTCTGGGAGTTGAAGTCCACCAATCATAAAAGGGCCAAAGTTTGAAGACCCCTGTCTTAAAGCATCCTGGCTGAGGAATTCTGGGAGTTGAAGTCCACAAGTCATCAAAGGGCCAAGTTGGAAGACCCCTGCTCCGGATGAAAAAAATGACTCCTTTCCAGAAGCATGATACTTCCTGCTCCAGATAATACAGGAAATGTCTAGAACCAGGTCTCTGGAAATCAAAACAAGGGCAACCATCTCTCCGCCCCCATTACAGGTAGTCCTCGGCTTATGACCATTCGTTTAGTGACCGTTTGAAGTTGCCAGGGCGCTGAAAAAGGTGACTTTTGACCCTTTTCCTCACGGCTGCTGCAACATCCCCGAGGTCATGGGATCAAAAGAGGGACGCTTGGCGACTGGCTCGTATTTACGACAGTCGCATTGTCCCCGGATCACGTGATCCCCTTCTGACAACGGGGAAGCCAGGTGGTCCATTGGAAGCCAGATTCACTTAACAACCGCATGACTAACTTAAGCATCGCGGTGTTTCACTTAACATCCGTGGCAAGAAAGGTCGTTAAAATGGGGCAAAACTCAATTATTTGCCTTGCTTAGCAACAGGTGCTTTAGGCTTGAGGACTAGCTGCGTAAGACTGAGGATGGTGGTTGACTTCCCATTCCGGCAATGGTGAGGGGAGTTCCTTTGGCAGATTTATTGAGAGAAAGCAGGGACCCCACCCAAATTTAGCTTCATGCCTGGGATGAGGGATCCCTGGTACTCTCTGAACTTGGGTGTTTTCTCGCAGACATTTCACGACCCAACTAGGGGACGTCATCGGTGCTAGGCGGGAGAGGGGGGGGGTTGGCTCTCTGTTGACCCTCATCAAGGAATTGCTAACTCCGACAAACACTAAACCACAGCCTAATCAAGGCATCACCCGAACACGCCCACCAACTTTGACAGGGCAAGCCAATATAAATAAAAAGCAAACCTCCTCTCCTTTCTAACACTGATGATGTTACCTAGTTGGGTCATGAAATGTCTGGAAACGAACAACCAAGCTCAGAGAGCACCAAGGACCCCCACAGTCCCCCTCCTCTTCCCCTCTGCACACCCCACTCCCTTCTAGAAATGATGATGTTACCTAGTTGGGTCATCAAACGTCTGCAGGAAAACCGCCCAGCTCAGAGAGCATCAATCAAGGACCCCACAGGACTCCTCCTCCCGCTCTCTACAAACCTCATTCCTTCTAGCACTGATGACACTACCTAGTTGGGTCATGAAACGTCTGCAGCAAAAGCACCCAGCTCAGAGAGCAACCAAGGACCCCACAGTCCATTTCCTCCTCCTCCTCCTCCCCCTCCCTGCTAGCACTGATGATGTTACCTAGATGGGTCATGAAACATCTGCAAGGAAACTACGCAGCTCAGAGAGCACCAAGGACCCCACAGGACTCCTCCTCCTCCTCCTCCTCCTCTCCACAAACCTCATTCCTTCTAGTACTGATGACACTACCTAGTTGGGTCATGAAACGTCTGCAGCAAAAGCACCCAGCTCAGAGAGCACCAAGGACCCCCACACTCCTCCTCCTCCTCTTCCCCTCTGCATACCCCACTCCCTTCTAGCACTGATGATGTTACTTAGTTGGGTCATGAAATGTCTGCAAATGAACAACCAAGCTCGGAGAGCACCAAGGACCCCAGAGTTCAGCCCTGCGTTCCAAATATTTCTTCTGTCAGTAGTGTGAGATGAGCATGCTAAATGCATCAAGAGCAGAACACCCTTCTACTATAAACAATCAAAAAGGGACCACCAAAGAATAACAGAGTTGGAAAGGGACCTTGGAGGTCTTCTAGTCCAACCCCCCCGATCAAGCAGGAAACCCTATACCAGTGGTGGCGAACCTATGGCACGCGTGCCAGAGGCGGCACTGGAAGCCCTCTCTGTGGGCACACGCGCCATGCCCCAGAGATGGCAACTGTCCTCTTCAACCAGCCGCCCGCTGAGGTCCCATGTGGCCGGATGCATCCCAGCATCCATGCACTCGCTGGCCTCTGTGTGCGGGGGCTGATGGTGTCAGGCAGCAGCCGCCCTGGCCCCTGCCTCGCGTCGCCCTGCGACAATGTCACCCCCGCCCTGCCTCGCCTCAGCCTGCAGGATGAGTCTCCTGCCCACCGCCCCACCCGCCAGAGACCCCGTGGATCTCCCCCAACCCTGCCCGGCCCCCACAGGTGTCCCTCCCCAGGAGCAACATTGAGCTGGCCATGCTCACCCTGGCCACACCCACCCATCAGACATGACCATCGTAGCCACACCCGGTGGGCCACGCCCACCCGGCGATACAGAAGTGGGATTTGAGTTGCAGTTTGAGCACTCTGTCTCTAAAAGGTTCACCATCACTGCCCTAGACCAGTAGTGGCAAACTTATGGCATGGGTGCCAGAGGCGGCACTCAGAGCCCTCTCTGTGGGCACACACGCCGTCGCCCCAATCCTAGGCCTTCAGCTGGGTTTTATAAAAGCTTTTTGCTTTAGGCCTCCACCGCCGTGTGCAAAAAAAAAAAAAAAAAGTTAAATCAATCAGTCAATTTCAACTTCTCGTGGGAAAAAAAAGTTCTTGCAAAGTTGGAATTGATTGATTGAACTTTTTAGTCCCACCCAGTCTGCCGTGACCACCGCAGCCACGCCCACCCAATGGGCCACACCCAACCAATGGGCCACGCCACCCAATGGGTCACACCCACCCGGCACTCGACAATGCATAAGTGGATTTTGGGTTGCAGTTTGGGCACTCGGTCTCTAAAAGGTTCGCCATCAGTGCTCTAGACCCTTTCAGACCAAGGGTTGTCCAATCTCTTTTTTTAAAAAAACGAGCACACACGACGTCTGGAGACAAGTCGGTCCACTGGTTAATTGTTCTCACCCGTCAGGAAATTTCTCCTGACCCTTGAAAGGGCTGCGAGTAAAGAGCAGGAAGCTGTTACCTTGCAAGTAATCCGCCAGGTCTCCACCATTGCAATACTGTGTGAAAGAGAAAGAAGAAGGACTACTATCAGCGTGGACGATGGCGATAAGCTTAGCCTATTTGCCCTAAACCCCCCTCTGCCCATCACATCATTTCTAAATCTCATATAATGTTGTTATGGTTTTAACTGCCCAGAGAGTCCCTCTCTGAGGGAGGTGGGAGGTTCCAAAATGGGACAAATAAAATCCAAATAAAATACACAGCCGCTTGGAACACCCAAAGCACACAGACTGCTTTCCTGGCTCGTCTAAAAAGCTCTTTTCTTTTGATTTCATTTTCAGAATGGACTTGCACTGTTTCTCAACCTTGACCATTTTAAGGCATGTGGACTTCAACTCCCAGAATTCCACAGCCAGCAATGCTGGCTGTGGAATTCTGGGAGTTGAAGTCCACATGCCTTAAAATGGTCAAGGTTGAGAAACACTGGACTAAGGGGAGGGATCTTCTGCTTGTTACTGGCACTGCACACTACATGAAGGTGTAATCTTAAATAGAAACCATGGTTCTAATCCCAGGCGTAAGGGCAAAATGACAGAGACTCTGGAAATTTAAAAAACAAAACAAAACAATGGGACCCTTGCGTGTCATGGGGTGACCGAAAGGACACGCGTGGTGGCTTCTCCAGGCTAGGGGGCTGCAGCGTTACATCCCGTAGTTGATGGTTTCACAAATCCAGGAAAAAGAGAAGCTTTCGCCAATGGAAACACTGCATGCATTTTCATATATATATATTTTCACGATTATTCACACTACTGCAGATATAGTGTTGAGAGAACGATAAATATTTTGATGCTTTTATTTAATGGAACTCGCTGAATGCTGAATGTTTAATAGTGGAGAGAAATCAGCAGCCCGCTTTTTAATTAGAAGTCAGTTGGGCAAGGGAGAGAGGGGGAGACAAAGGGAGAGAGAGAGAGGGAGAGAGAGAGGGGGAGGGAGGGAGAGAGGGAGGGAGAGAGAGGGAGAGGAGGGAGGGAGAGAGAGAGGGAGAGAGAGAGGGAGGGAGAGAGAGAGAGAGGGGAGAGGGAGGGAAAGAGAGGGAGAGAGAGGGAGAGAGGGAGGGAGGGAGAGAGGGAGAGAGAGGGAGAGGGAGGGAGAGAGAGAGAGGGAGAGGAGGGAGAGGGGAGGGAGAGAGAGAGGGAGAGAGGGAGAGAGGGAGGGAGAGGGAGGGAGAGAGGGAGGGAGGGAGAGAGAGGGAGAGATGTAACTGAGCGACAGCTAAAAACTGTATTTATCGCTTTCTCCTTTCCAAAGAGGAGCGCTTTTGAAGCCTTAAGTGGGACTTAAAAAGCGTTCCTCTTTGGAAAGGGGAAAGAAAAAAAAAGACAGAAAAACAGGGGAAAAAGTGTTGAAAGAAAAATCTTCATCCCGGTTCATCCAAGCCGGGGATAAACAACATGGCGACTGCTTTAGAAAGAAGGTTGCAGTTTATTGAAGAGCCAGACCGAAAGATGGTTCTGGCAGGAAAGAGGAAAGAAGGGCTGAGCACATGTGGGGAGTAGGTTTTTATACCTTCTGGAGCCTTTTGTTTGGAATAGTTTCCTGCTCCTGTTTTAAGCTTTGTATTTCCTGTGTCACGTATTCTGACCTGAGTCTGGGGGTGCCTTTCTGGTATTCTTGATGGTGGTAGGTTATTCCTATTATGTCCCAAAGGTCCTATCCTGCTTCCCTGGTGCTGGGGCTAATGACTCTTAAGAGTTTGGGTGAGGTATGCAGATTTTAGGTGTCTTTGTCTTCTTGATCTCCTAGCTGGGGCCTTTCTGATGGTTTACATCTGCATTTGTACAGAGCTGGCTTCAGCTTGGGACAGAGAGACTTGGGGGCAGGGTTGGTTTCTGCTTTTAAAATCCTTTTGAGGAAATATATTTTTCTGCTCTTTTAAAATTTCCTTCTTTGGGGGGGGGCTGACTTCCCACAACAGCAAGCAACTAAAAAGAAGGTGTAAGGCTTATTTTAGGCGTGGAGACTAGCTAGTTGGTCCAAGCCCCTTGACGAGGACTTCTAAGCCTGAAATAATCGCAGATAGTGGGAATAATCCTGGAAAAATATTGGGTACCGCCTAGTCGTTTTTCTCCCAACTAGCTAACGTCCACACCCCAAAAACAAACCCAATGCCTTTCTTTGTGCCTGGTCCATCTGAAGGCATCCAACCATCATCACCTGTATATATATACACGCAATTTTTCCACGCACTGCACTTGCAGCAGCTCAGTTGGGCGAGACTGGTGACGAGCTTAAAAAAGAGCCATCTTCTCCGAGCGCTGAAATTTAACAAGGCTACCTACCTCGTGGTCAGACTTTTTTTAAAAAAGGAGCACCACAATTAAAACCTGATTATTTCTTCCTCGGTTATTCGACCTCTGGAGTTGCTCTTTCTCAGCTACTGCTAGTTGGGACCCCTACCCCTTATTTCTTTTTAAACACACACACCATATACTATATACCCAGAGAGCACCAAGGACCCCACAGAAGAAATGTGAGCACACATATATATACATACATACATACATACATACATACATACATACATACACATAGATACATTTAAAGTCAATCAGATAAAAATAAAGAGCTCTGGGATATAAGGTAAAAGGCTTTTTTTTATTAATCAGAGCCCTTTGCTCTGATGATGTTAATAGTTTGGTAACGAAAGCTCAGCAATTAATAAAAAAAGCCTTTTACCTTATATCCCAGAGCTCTTTATTTTTATCTGATTGACTTTAAATGTCCATACCTGGGATTCCAATATTCAAAATTATCAAAGACACATAGATACGTAGATACAGGCAGGCAAACACACACACACACACACACTTCTTCTGTGGGGTCCTTGGTGCTCTCTGGGTTGTTTTCTTGCAGACATTTCATTACCAGGCTAAATAATCTCATCAATGCTAGGAGGGGGGGAGGGGGGGTTGCTCTCAGTTTACGTACAAGTGGCTTTGTCTGTGTTGGTGGTTCTTTGAGGAGTCTGTGGTTTATTGGATTGTTTATCTAAGCTGATATTTCCTTAATATTCCTTGGTATTGTTTATCTGAGTTGGTAATTCCTTAACTGGAGTGTTGTTTTAAGGACCGGTTGTGGGTCTAGTATGAATAGAATAGCATAGCAGAGTTGGAAAGGGACCTTGGAGGTCATCTAGTCCAACCCCCCTGCTCAGGCAGGAAACTGTATACCATTTCAGACAAATGGTTGTCCAGTCTCTTCTTAAAAACCTCCAGTGTTGGAGCATTCACCGCTTCTGGAGGCAGGTTGTTCCACGGGTTAATTGTTCTAACTGTCAGGAAGTTTCTCCTTAGTTCTAGGTTGCTTCTCTCTTTGGTTAGTTTCCATCTGTTGCTTCTTGTCCTGCCTCCAGGCGCTTTGGAAAATAGCTTGACTCCCTCTTATTTAATCTTGCTGTTAATTTCTGCTTCTCTGGGTATGGATTGCTGGAAGTGGTGTTTTGGTCTAAGTCAGTGGTTCTCAACCTTTCTAATGCCGTGACCCCATAATACAGTTCCCCATGTTGTGGTGACCCCCAAGTGGGTATGGCCACCAATAAGAGGGAGTAGGACAGCTAGGGAAAAGGGAAAAAAATGGCAGACAGCGTGGTTTGGCAACCTCCGTGAAATGGTCGTTCGACCCCAAATGGGGTCCCGACCCACAGGTTGAGAACCACTGGTCTAAGTAAACAATGTTTAATGTAAAAATACCCTAATCAAGGAACCAGCAATAACACTCCCACTAACACTGACAGGACGAGCTGTTTGTAATATAAACAGGCAGCAACCCCCCCCCCTTTCTAGCACTGATGATGTTACCTAGCTGGGTAATGAAATGTCTGCAAGAAAACAACCAAGTTCAGAGAGCATCAAAGACCCCACAGTTCAACCCTGAATATTCTCTTTTATTGGTAACACATTTCCTTGGCTGTTCTGTGTTTTGCAAGGCAATGTATGAGTGAATAAAAAAGAGGACTTTTAACAACTACTTCTATAAGTATAGACCAGGGGTAGGCAGCCTTGGCTCTTTTATGACTTGTGGACTTCAACTCCCAGAATTCCTGAGCCAGCCATGTTGAGGGAAAAGGGAGAAGTTTCCATGCTGAGCCATGTTGTCTCAGGAATTCTGGGAGTTGAAGTCCACGAGTCATGAAGGGGCCATAGTTCTCCCATGCTGGCTCAGGAATTCCTGGAATTGAAGTCCACAGGTCATGAAGGGGCCATAGTTCCCCCATGCTGGCTCAGGAATTCTGGGAATTGAAGTCCACGAGTCATGAGGGGGCCAAAGTTTCCCCCATGCTGGCTCAGGAATTCTGGGAATTGAAGTCCATGAGTTATGAAGGGGGCCATAGTTCCCCCATGCTGGCTCAGGAATTCTGGGAGTTGGAAGTCCACAAGTCATAAAAGAGCCAAAGTTGCCTACCCCTGGTATAGACCATCAAATATTAACCCATGCATATTATAGCATAAATCACATAACATTGTGCACCGGAATCCAAAACCTGTGGATCAAAAATATTTTGGGGTGGATTTTCATTGGTAGCGTACACATCTATTAATTTTAGAACAGTTCAGGGGAAACCATAGATGGGGTTTGGGGGAGGCTGGGCGGGGGGGGGGAGACTTCAGGATAAGAAGAGGAGAAATAACTCAAATTCAGCCACAAAAAAATCCAAATCGTAAATATACACACCTCCATTACGAGAAAGACAGAATTGGGCATTTCCTGAAAGAAAAAAGAAAAAAAAAAGAAACATCTCATTCAACAAGAATAATGGAAGCTTTCTTACAATAAATACTATAATTCCTTTTCACCCACCTGCCACTGATCTATATTGGGAGATATTTATGGCGCGACCCCAAAAAAGGCAGAAATTTATTCTTCTGAGGTACCAAATTCAATTTTGAAATTGGCACGCTGCTTAGCTTTCAAATAAAGCTTTTAAAAAAAAGACAGGCACAGACAGACACGGATGCAAAGTTTGCATTACAAACCATCAAAGGAACAATTATAATTGGACACAATATTACATCTGGCAGGACTGTGCACATCTAACAATCAATCAATCAGAATAGCGCTGGAAGGGACCTTGGAGGTCTTCTAGTCCAGCCCCCCCCCCGCTCAAGCAGGAGACCCTATTCCATTTCAAACAAATGGTGCTTTGGAGTAACCGATTTTATACCAATTTTTTTTACAAGTCTGTAACCAAAGTGCATTTTCCCCCGGTGACTGTGCTACAATTGTAGTGGCCACTTACGCAACTCCAGGAAAAGACATAGTTGCTTTAAGAAGTTGCAGACAGGTGCTCTGCAACAACTCCCCCCCCCCCATAGACACACACATGATTAGAAGCACATTTTTTTTTTTTTTGGCTTTGAATCCAAAGTTTTGTATGGGAGAAGATTCAGTTCAGCTCATCTATATTCTAGTCCAGTGGTTCTCAACCTGTGGGTCGGGACCCCATTTGGGATCGAACGACCATTTCACGGGGGTCGCCAAACAACGCAGTCCGCCATTTTTTCCCCCTTTTCCTTAGCTGTGCTACTCCCTTTTATTCTGTTGGCTTTTGAAAGCCAATAGAATAGACTCTCTTGAATAGAGTCTAATTCTATTGGCTTTCCAAAGCCAATGGGAATTGTCCAGGCTGTCTCTGCCCTGCTGAGCCTGCCAAAAGTCCCCTTCTGCAAATGGTGCTGCACCAGTTGAGTAGTCCTCGACTTACGACTGGTTGAGTAGTCCTCGACTTATGACCGGTTGGGGGGGGGGGAGGTCGCAGCATTAAAAAGGTTGAGAACCACTGGTCTAAGTGCTATTGCTTGGGGAGGGAGGGAGGAAGGGAGCAAAGAAGACAGACAAGAAGGAAGGAAGGAAGGAAGGAAGGAAGGAAGGAAGGAAGGAAGGAAGGAAGGAAGGAAGGAAGGAAGGAAGGAAGGAAGGAAGGAAGGAAGCTGGGGTGGCGCAGTGGTGAGAAGGCCGTATTGCAGGCTGGGTCTGCCCACAGCCAGGAAATTCGATCCTGACCGGTTCGAGATCCTCGACCGACTCAACCTTCCGTCCTTCCGAGGTGAGTCAAATGAGGATCCAGATTGTTGGGGGACAGATGCCGACTCTATAAACGGCTTAGAGAGGGCTGCGAAGCACTGTGAAGCGGTATGTAAGTCTAAGTCAGCGGTTCTCAACCCCATTTGGGGTCGATCGACCATTTCACGGGGGTCACCAAACAAGGCTGTCCGCCATTTTTCCCCCTTTTCTTTAGCTGTGCTACTCCTGCGAGGAGCCCAACGGGTGCCTTACCTCCCTTGGGCTGGGCCAGCTGGTGGCCCAGCCGGTGGTCGCCCTGCGCCGTCGCTGCCCCTTGCCAGCTACGCCTCGGCCGGCGCAGGGGGCAGCACCACGCATGTGCAGTGCTCCCGGGCAGGGAAAGTCCTCGACTTACGACCGGTTGGGTAGTCCTCGACTTACGACCGGTTGGGTAGTCCTCGACTTACGACCGGTTGGAAGGTCGCGGCATTAAAAAGGTTGAGAACCACTGGTCTAAGTGCTATTGCTGCAGTTGTTAAAGTGAATCACTGCAGTTCTTAAGCTGGTAATACACTTGTTCAGTGAATCTGGCTTCCCCTGTGGAGTTTGCTCGTCAGAAGGTCACAAAAAGGGGGGTCATGTGACCCCCATGGGACACGGTAACTGTCATAAATACATGCCAGTTGCCAAGCCTCCGAACTTGGATCATGTGACCACAAGGACACTGTGACAGCCGTTAGGCGTGAGGAACGATCCTAAGTCACTTTTTTCTCCCTCGTTGCAACTTGGGTTTGGCTAGTCTAAAGAAAAGAAGAAACTGGGGGTGACATGATAGCAGTCTTCCAGTATCTGGGGGGCTGCCACAAGGCCGGGGGAGGTGGGTGGTCAAGCTATTCTCCAAAGCACCAGAAGGCAGGACGAGAAGCAACGGATGGAAACTGATCAAAGAGAGAAGCAACCTGGAATTAAGGAGAAACTTCCTGACAGGGAGGACAATTAACCAGTGGAACAGCTTGCCACCAGAAATCGTGGGTGCTCCATCATTGTTTGTTTGTTTGTTTATTTATTTATTTATGAGACTTATATACCGCTTTAAGTGCAAGCACTCTCTAAGCGGTGTACACCAGTAAGCAATGTATATATATATATATATTTACATTGCCCCCAACAATCTGGGTCCTCATTTTACCTACCCCGGAAGGATGGAGGGCTGAGTCAACCTTGAGCCAGTGAGATTTGAACCGCTGACCTGCTGAACACAGTCAGCGAAAGTGGCCTGCAGTACTGCACTCTAACTGCTGCGCCACCTCGGCTCATAAAAACCTCATTGGAGGTTTTTAAGAAGAGACTGGACAGTCACTTGTCTGAAATGGTATAGATCAGTGGTGGTGAACCTATGTCACGCGTTCAAGAGGTGGCACTCGGAGCCCTCTCTGTGGGCACGCGCGCCATGCCCCGGAGATGGCAACCGTCCCTCTTCAACCAGCTGCCCGCTAACTCGCTGAGGTCCCACATGGCTGGATGCATCCCTGCACCCATGCGCTCGCTGGCCTCTGTGTGCGGGGGCCGATGGTGTCAGGCAGCAGCCAGCCCGGCCCCTGCCTCACCTTGCCCTGTGACAATGGCACCCCCGCCCTGCCTCACCTTGCCTTGCCTCACCCCGCAGGACAAGCCTCCTGCCCACCGCCCCACCTGCCAGAGACCCCCTGGATCTCCCCCAACGTTGCCCGGCCCCCAAAGGCGTCCCTCCCCACGAGCAACATCGAGGTGATCACGCCTACCTTGGACACACCCACCCAGTCTGCCATGACCACAGCCACGCCCACCCAGTGGGCCATGTCCACCTGGCACCCGGCAATAAATAAGTGGGTTTTGGGTTGCAGTTTGGGCACTCGGTCTCTAAAAGGTTCACCATCATTGGTATAGATTCTCCTGCTTGAGCAGGGGCTGGACTAGAAGACCTCCAAGGTCCCTTCCAGCTCTATTCTATTCTACTTCAAGTGGTCACTAAATGAATTCAAAACCCACCCGGGGCCTTGCGAGGTCAGGTGGCTGTTATGAACGATCACCTGCCTCCCGGTTACTCATTGATAAAGAGTAAACTGCCCTGGGAAAACTGCAAGGACAGCCTTCAGCCCTCTCGACTGGCAACTGAGGCTCCCTCCGGAAGGACACAACTCTTAACCTAACTGGAACCCCGCCTGGGGGTTGTCTGCCCGGAAAAAAACACACCCTTTGGTCACTGAACTGCAGATCAGGACCTCGCTTTGCAAACACAGCTGTCTGACTTGGTGTCCTCGTTATGTCCTATCCTGAATTTCATCACCATCATTTTAGCCGCTGCAGGATAAAGGCCTCTTCTGCCTGTTGGTCCTGAGCTGCCAACTAGGAATGGAATGGAATATTCCTGGCTCTCTCCTGCCCTTCCTGCTTCCTGCAGAGACGCAGCAAAGGGAGGAGCCCCACCCAATAAGCTTGTCAGCTCGTTGGAGAACAGGGTGAGGCCACTCTTTTTTACACACACACAGAGAGAGAGAGAGAGAGAGAGGGAGGGAGGGAGGGAGGGAGGGAGGGAGGGAGGAAGAGAGAGAGAGAGAGAGAGAGAGAGAGAGAGAGAGAGAAGGGAAGCGCAAGTGCCTCTCTCTGTCTCTCTCCCTGCAAATGGCAGAGGAGGCTGGCCGACCTGAGCCCTACCATTCCCGACACTGATTAATATGTTCTAACTGCCAGGAAATTTCATCTTGGTTTTAGGTTGCTTCTCTCCTTGTTGAAATTGATCCATCTTGTTTTAGGTCTCTTTCGTGGATGCTTTTGATCAAGCGGGATCCGTTCTATGACTAGAGATAGACCTCGACTTTCGGCCGCAATTGAAGCCAACATTTCTCTTATTCAGTGTGACATTTGCTAAATGCGTTTTTGCCCCATTTTATGATGTTCCTTGCCCTAGCTGTTGAGTTAATCCCCACCATTGTTCCAATACTAAGGCGGTTGTGAAGTGCAATCTGGCTTCCCCGTGGACTCTTGGCTTGTCAGGAGGTCCCCAAAGGGGATCAACCTGACCTTGGGACCCAGCAACGGTCATCTGTATGAACCAGTTGCCAAACATCTGGATTTTGATCACGTGACTGTGGGGGTGCTACAACAGACATAAGGGTGAAAAACGGTCTCTTTCTTCAGTGCTGTTGTCAATTTGAACGGTCACTGAACAAACTGTTGCAAGTTGAGGACCACCTGTATTCTATCCAGTCATAGGATGGGCTCAGAATTTATTGGGGGAAAAGGATGCTACTTAGTTTCACTGGATGCTTCACCAGGTACCTTGCAGATTTCTGGACCGCTGCCCTTCCCATTGGCCAGGCTGCTCCAGAGTGATGGTTTTACCACAGGTAGTCCTCCCAACCATTTATATTAGTGACTGTGCAAAGTTAGAACGGCGCTGGAAAAAAAACCCCGACTTATGACTGTTTTTCACACTTATGACCCGTTGCAGCATCCCCGTGGTCACGTGATCGAAAAATTCAGATGCTCAGCAACGGGTTCATACTTATGACGGTCGCTGTGGCCCGGGGTCACGTGACCCCCTTTTGCAACTTCTGACCAGCAAAATCAACGGGGAAGGCAGATTAATATTTATAGGTTACTTACATGTAAGGGTGTAGGTCTATGCATATGCTGTATGTAGTATGTTTAAATGTGTGTTATGT